GATAAATGTAAATATATTGTATACCTAAAATGTACCAATAAAAGAATTTTAAAAAATAAAATAAAATAAATGGCATTGTCATTCCAAAACAAAAAGGACATTTTAGCTTGCACACTAAGCAGTGATGAGGGATGGGTGGGTGAGGCGGGGCACAGCAGGGCTTTTCCAACTGCAGAACTTTCTGAAGTGGACCCTGCTTCATCTAAAACACTGCTTCCTAAGGTTGGGGTGTTTCTGGATCATCCCCAGTTGCTGGCTGAAGATCCACATTCCTGGGCCATGGCCCTCGGAGCTCTGATACCACAGGTCTGGATGGGGCTGAGAACAGGGTCTCTCGGAGGTCAGATGGTCCTCATTATGGTTTCTCTACATTCTGACAAACTCTGACAAACACTTCTCAGGCCACTTCTCTACCTGCCATCGCTGGCACACTCAAGTGGGATCAGCGGTCCAGCTTCGGCAGGGACGATCAGAATTGGGGCTCACAAGTGATTTGATGTTAAGTACAAGTGTGCTCACTAAGCAAAATGATACAGTGAAAATAAAGACATGGGATAAAAGAGAATCTGATCTTCCTAGAAAGATCCACTCTACAATTCTTTTAACTACTTAATAGCTTACCCCAAGTGTCCCTCAGGCAGGTGTCATTTTAACCAGTTGATTCTTGTTTGCATGAGATACACTCATATGTCTGTTTTATATTGACTATTTTTTGCATATTCTTTTATTTAGAACATTGTATTCATCTTTGATGTTTGTTTCTAGTGAAATCTAATAATAAGTTCTGGGGTTTTTTCTTTTACTAATTCGTGTTTGTGAAAATAACCTATCATTTTATGCTACAATTGATAAAAACTCTTATTGTAAGTACCTTAGATATAATTTTTATACTTCTCCATGATATTCTTTTACTATACAAAATGGATCCGTTTAGGACAGTGAGGCTGAATAGGAAGGGAGTGCCAAAGATGTGTAAAAGAAAAACTGGAAAAGGGAGAAATGTTAGCATATCAGAGAGGAAAAGCCTGTGTTATGAAATGCAAAGACAAAAAAGACGTCTCTTTATTGTCAACTATTCATAATACAGAAATGATAGATCTTGAAAAAACAAATGAAACTAAAAAACATTCCAACAGTTGTCCATGATTGTAATGCTTCTATGGGTGATGTTGACAGAGTTGACCAACATTTAACAAGCTATCCTGTAATCAAAAGGCAAGGAAAAAAATATTACTATAAAATATTTATGCACCTTCTGGAACAAATAATATGGAACTCGTTTGTTATTTAGTCAAAACAAGGGGGTTCAAAAAATCATTTAAAACTTAGATTACGTCTATAGGTCAAATAATTGAAAAATACACGATAGTGAAATGCCAAACAGGACATCATCGACACTGGCACCATTGTGGTTAGTGGGTAAAGATTTTATTGAAATTATACCACCCGCAGAACAAAAGGAAAGGCAAACATGACTGTGTGAAGTGCTGTTCAAGGAAAGAAAACAAGGCAAAAAGAATTCAGAAAGATACTACATACTACTGTCCAGACTGTACTGTGCGTTATATATTGAATGTTTTAAGATATACCATACACAGAAAAATTACTGAATAAATTCGATAAAATTGTAGCTTTTATATTTTGTTATATATTATCTTATAAAAATTAATGAAAATATGCAATTTTTGGTCATCCTGTATTTAAATAATCGGACTGGTAAGTGGTTAAATATACAAATGCAACTTTTTCCTGGGATATACATATGATTTTATTTTCCCACAAAATAGTCATGAAAGCAAGTTTTAAATTCCTGTTCCAGAAAATCACTGGTGCATGAGGTCTGCTTTTGCATGAAAAAACAATTCTACTGGAAGCAAACACACTGTACCTTTGTTCCAAATTGGCCCAAGTTGCTTATGACAGGCAAGAGGAACTCAAGCCAGATGCTGATGTCAAATGGATTCCTACCTGCAGCAGTCACCAGCAGCAGCAGTGACAGGAGTTTGCCTGTGAGCGCCATTCTGCTTCATTCAGGGTGAACAGCAGGCTTCTGAGGTAGCGATTGGGTACAGGTTCCCTTTGATGTTTTCAGGAGCCAGATTTGGCCTCTAAATTTTTAAAGGAACAAAAGAAAAGAGATAGAACAGAAGAAAAGAGTAGGTAAATGTGGAAGCATACAAAATAATTTCTATTATTTTTTCACATCAACTGGAAGGCTGTCCTACCCAACTCACAGACCCACATGCCAAGGCAACCAGCCATCCAGAAGTCTCTGTCCAAATGCACCTGTAAAGGGTTTTATGCTGGCTCCTCTTCCAAGCTGGGGCAATATACAAAATACGTGAAGCACAATAAAGCTATCTACTCAGAGCTCCACAAAGCAAAGGGTTTGACAGAGACTCAAAAACAGTGAGAGGAGTCAGAGACTATCATACTGCGAAGGCTGCAGGTGTGCGCTGCCTGGAGGCTGCTGGGGGTGGGGGGTGGGGCACTGTGGCAGCCTCCTAGAAGAGGGCACCCAGTGGGATGGGTAAGGAAGCAGATTTGGCTTTCTCTGGTTGAGCCTAAGCTGAGAAAGGGAATAAAAATTAGGGAAGCTGTTGGTTATGAATCAAGTCCTAGTCATTTGGGGCTAATTCTTGAGAAATTTATTTAGCTTCCAAAATTATTAGAGTAGTGTGGCTTCCTGCAGGATTCCTGGGTGGGTTATTGCAGAAGAGAGGTTTCCTGGGCAAATCACTGCAGGCCATGGGGCAGAGTTCTACTTTTCTTCATGGCCTGGCCATTGTCCGTTTGACTATTCTGTCTCTCCAAGCCCAGACCTATGAGAAGATGGCGCAGGCAACAATGTTTTGTTTCTTTGACTGTTAACACATACAGATCTCCCCTGTATCTCTGACATCAGGATGTCTCACAATTACAGCTGGACAATTCCAGGCAAGAAACAGATGCCATGGCATGTGTGTGAACATCAGCCATGCAGAGCTGGTGTCAGGCTTCGAAGTTTCCCCAAACACCATACAGGGATTTGGGGCATAGCCCAGGGGTAGAGCATGTGCTCAGCAGTTACAAGGTCCTCAGCTTGGTCCCCACCACACACGCACACAGATACACAGACAAAAGCACTCTCCAGAAATGCTGCATCTTCCCAAGTTCATGATGGCAAACAAGCAATATTATGTAGGGAAATCACAGATATCAGCAACTGAACTGACAAGTTACCTGGAAGAAATGAACTAAGAATGTTAAAAAATATATATATTTTTGAGACAGAGTCTGGATATGTCTCAGGCTCAGGCTAGCCTTGAACTCCTGGACTCAAGCAATCTCCTCGCCGCAGCTTCCCAAATAGATAGGACTACAGATGTGAGCAACCACATCCAATTTTTATTTGGAGGAAGAGGGAATAAGACAACTGATAAGTTTACATGGGAAAATAAACAAGAAAGGAAGGCTGAAAAATGAAAGAGAAGAAAACAGAAAAAGCAGCTCAATCATACAATGAAACATATTATAAAAGTAACAGTTACTAAAACACGATAGTAACAGTGCAAAAACAAATCGCCAAAAGGTAGATATTTCAGAAATGAATCCACTTACTTAGAACACCAAAGGACAGAGTTTTAATGGCATCTCAATTCAGGGAGGAGGATAGATGTAAGATAGATAGTTAGACTGATTGATTATATGGGTGGTTTGGGGGAAATGGGTGGCCATTTGGAAAAAATACTAAATTGTATCCATACCTCAAACCTTACACCAGAATAACTTCCTCGTGTAATAACAAGACCATAAAAGCCGTGTGAAAAAATATGTGATTTTTTTTTTTGTACTACAAACTCGGGTCCTTGCACCTGCAAGGCAGGCGGCGCAACAACTGAGCTAAATCCCTGGCTGCAATTGATTTTTTGACAGGGGTTCCAAGACAATTCAGTAGAGTAGTCTTCTCCGCAATGCTACAGAGAGTAATGTGAAAAGAATAAAATACCAGCCAGGAATGGTAGCACACACCTATAGTGCCAGCACTCAGGAGGTTAAGGCAGGAGGATCACAAGTTCAAGGCCAGCCTGGGATACACAGTGAGACCCTATTTCAAAAAAAAAAAAAAAAGAATGAAATCCCACCCCTCCCACACACTGCCTATAAAAATTAATCCCAAATGGATCCCAGGCTCAAATGCAAGAGCTTAAACTATAAACCCATGAGAAGAAAACATAAGGGTATCAGCAGGACTTGGACTGAGTATAGTAGTTCCTTAGTATCCATGGGGATTGGTTCAGGATCGCCTGCAGATACCAAAATCCACAGACAGTCACCTCCCTTGTATTCACATATAATCTATGCAATCCTCATCTTAGATAATTTATAATATCTAATACAATGTAACTACTATGTAACAGTTGTTACACTGAATTGTTTAGGGAACATGAAAGGAAAAAAGTCTGCACATGTTCAATACAGAGCTGGTACTTTTTTCCAGAATATTTTTGATATTTTGGTTGAATCCACAGATGTAGAACCTAAGGACACACAGGACCAACTATACTCATCACTGTGGGAAAAGGAATGGGGTGGAAAAATAAATAAGTACGAATATGCTTGCAAATGTATAAAATATTTTAGGAAGAATACACATGAAACTGTTAACATCTGCTAAGAGTAGGGCAGAGGGCTCAGAGAGAGACTTGAAAAACAAATAGACTTTTACACTTTATGAATTATAAGAATGTCTTTAAAATTTTTAAACAAACGTAATGTTTGCACCATTACAAGTGGTCACTGGTGGCTTACATCTTCTCAGCTTTGAGTAAAGAAGAGAGCAATGAGGGCAGGCCTGGACTCCATATAGGAAAGGGTCCTTCCCCACATAAGGCAGGAGGGGTAGGTATGAGCAACCTGGCCAGATTTAGCAAATAAAAATGCAGGATTAGGGCCAGGGATTTAGCTCAGTGGTACCACAGCTGCCCCGAAAGTGCAAGGTCCTGAGTTCAATCCCCTGTACAAAAAAAAAAAAGCAGGATTTCCACCAAGTGTTGGTGGTGCACACCTGTAATCCCAGCACTCTGGAAAGCTGAGGCAGGAGGATCACAAGTTAGAGCCCACCCTGTGCAACTCAGCAAGACTCTGTTTCAAAATAAACATAAAACAAAGGGGCTGGGCACAGAATTTAGTGCTAAAGTCCTGATTCAATCCCCAGTACCAACAAGAAAAAAAGAACAAAACAAAGCAGAATCCCCATTAAATGTGATTTCAGATTAATGTTTTTATTCTGCAATATTTGGGACATTCTTTTACTGTATTTGGCCTGGGAGGCCCAGCTCTGAAAAATACCCTGCATATAGCTAGTTTAGAATCACAGCTCGTGTGTGTCCTTCCCCACATGGCACTGCTGAGGCAGAGCTGGCACCTACACTCCGAGATGTGCCACAGCAACCTAGATTTCAGTTGATATCCTGAATCCTTGGGGGTTGAGAACATGTTTAATGGGAACCAAGAACAATTTGTTAACAAGAGAAAGCACAAAGGGAACTATAATCGTTCAAGTGAAAGAAAAACTAAACTGAAGAAAAGACATAGAGAACAAGCCTAGGTGGGGAAAAAAAGATGTATTTTAACTTTAACTTTCAATTTTCTGAATTTAGTAATCTTTATTTCAGAGGAGATTGGGTGCATTCAGGATGATATGGCCATAAATAAAAATTTTCATTTCAAAGAGACGGAATTGCCATGTTCCTCAGAAACATTATTTTTCAGACCTGCTAACAGCTTTCATCTCAGCTGGGGCTGACTGCATAAGGAAAAGGAGAAATCCTGCATGTGATGGCCAGGATCCCGAAGAGCCAGGACCTGATATTTCCCCAGGCCTTGTTTCTCAGGGAGCTCTGCCCAGAGCGATCCGGTGGAGAATAGGAGGAAATACAATACTCACATATTTCTCTATTTTAGGCAGATGAGTCCACTCTGAATCCTAGAAAAAGTCACAGTAGCTATGACCAATAAATGCAGGTTAATTGGGCCGGAAGGGACAACCCATGAGGCCCTGCAGGTCCCCAAGGATTGTGGCGAATTTCTGGTGTGTCCCACTGATGGAGTCCATCACCCAGCAGCCAGTGTTTACAGCCTGCAGAAGAAGGCGACATGTTTCTAATTGTCCTAGCCCTTCTGCTCCTGGCCTCCTCGAGGTCACCCCCAATCTCCCCATGCTGCTGCCCCTGCACCTCTACTGTCCAGCCTATGCCAGTTCATCTGTGACACTTTCCTGGGCTTCCCAAATGTGGTCTCCAACTGGAGTGAATGGGGCCAGATGATCACAACTGCAATCTGTATTAACACTGAAAACAACATTTGTAAGGCTACCGCTTATTTCATAATGTCCCTGGCATTTTATATGTTACTTTTTTTTTGGTACCAGGGATCAAACTCAGAACCTTGAGCTTTCGAGGGAGGCGGTGGAGCCAGAGCTAAATCCTCTGCCCTATATGTGTAACTTTTAATCCTCTAGGGAGGGGGGGAAATATATATAGTTTTTTGAGTCCATGGTGGAGATTGAACCCGGGGCCTCATGCACGCTCAGTGAGAGCTTGTTATGGCTTGTGTTTAGATGTCCCCGAAAGCTGCATGCGAATGAAGTGTTGCTATTTCAGAGATGGCTGAATCTAGGGAGTCTAATTCATGGTGTAATGCTAGGCTGGAGAGCATTAGGATTAAGGGTGTGAGTGTGACTCACCCTAAGTAGTCTGAATACAATAAAAGAGGCAGGAAGGTGCTGCTAAGGCCCCTTGTTACTTCTACTACCTTATGGACACCATGAACTGTTCCTCCTCTGCGACACTCCTCTGCCATGTGCCACTCTGCCTTGGAGCCAGCCGATTATGGACTGAAACCTCTGCAAACTGTTAACTAAATAAACTTTTCCTCATTTAACTTTGGGTGTCAGGCATTTTGTCTCAGCAATGAAAGATAAGTAACTAACACACTGCTCTACCACTGCACTACACCCTCAGACTCCTAATTATATTTTATTATCTGTTTTATAGGTAATAAAACTATATACTCATATTGGTATTATTAAAATCTTAGGATATTAAGTGGAAAAAGCAGTAATGAA